CTGGAGGAGAGATGAGAAGGCAGAGAGAGTCAGGACCTGGTTGAATGGACACGGGAAGTCCGGGGTGGAAAGGAAGAGTGTACTGTCACAGTACAGGGAGAGCAAGTAGGGTCACAAAACAAAGTATGTATAAATTTTTGTATGAGAGACTATTTGAATTGGAAACTTTCACTTAAAGCACAACAATAAAAAAAAGAAAATGTAAAAAAATTTAAAAAAAAAGTTGTGCACCTGTAAAAATTAGCAAAAGTGCGTGATATATTTACAAAAAAAAAAAAAAAAAAGCAGCTGCTGAGGTTGCTTATGTACAACCAAACATCTTATGGGATTTGGTTCCTTGGTTTGGAGGTTTAGGGTCATGGTTTTGTGGGGCATTCCAGTTAATTGGCCTAATAATGTGTTTAGTGCTTCTGTTCTACCCCTAGCTCATTTTGTAGTGCCTGGGAACTTAAGAGCTTGCAAGTAGCCATCCAAAGCATGTCAATTGGTTTCTCTTCACCTGTAGCAACAGAGGAAGAAGGAGAGGCAGGAATAGGGGGAGCATATGGAATGTGTGGCTAATTGCCTCCATGAACAACTGCAACCTTTGCCAAGAGACCAGAAGTGCCCAGCTACCATTACTGAACATTTTGCTCAAGGATTCTATAGTAAAATCCTGATCAAAAGGGGGAAAATACAGACAGAATTTCAAATTCCTGTGGATGCTAAACTTTCTGGATGAACTGCTGAAACTATTGCCCTGAGATAATCTTTAAACCCTAAACCAAAAATCTTTACACCTTAAACCTGAAGTCTTCTTAAAACCAAATAACAGTTTAGCTTAACTAGTAAAAAATGTGTGCCTTGAGAATTATGCTCTAAGAACTACCCATACGGGATCAAATTGACAACATCAACTCAAAAGGTTAGATAGGAAACTTAGGGGCTGATGGGGGAGGAACAACTCAGAAAAAGAGGATGAGAATGATTGTACAACTTGAAGAATGGAATCAATGTCACTGAGTTTGCTTGTTTGCTTGTTTGCTGTTGTTTGTTCATTTTAAGAACATCAGATAAATCCTTGAGAGAAAACTGTTAAGTCCACCTCCAAGATGTCATGATTGATTTGGAAACTGAAGCAAGCACTGAAGGCTGGTGGCTGATTCTGTATCCTGGATTGACAGTGGGGTAAGACAATATGACTTGTGGTTGGCACAATTACTAGATAAAAATGATGAACAGTGTTCCCAGGGGAGTTTGAACTATGGTTTGATTACATCAAGAAAATGTGCCAGGAATGCAATTCTTCACAAATTGAGTAATTCATAACAACAAACCCTCTAGGTTGTATTAATGTAAATGATCTAAAAGCTGTAAGTGTATATTCCTTTCCTTGAATTGCCTTGCTTGCCTTAGAGTAAGTCTTTGGTGTAGAGAATGCCAAGGAAGTGCTCATTACATTTTCTACCACCTAGCAGAAATGATGGGAAAAGAATTCCTGATATGCCATGAGATGTGTACACTGGTGTGGAAGACAGTAGGAAAGTACACTGCCGATATAGCTTTAAGTTTCATGAACATTCTGAGAGTCCTTTCAGGAATTTTACTACTAATTCAGGTAGATTCAGTTGATTGAGGTAGAGGAGGGATAAGATGAGGAGAAAGTCAAGACCATACATATTTATAGGAAGCCACATAAGTTGGCTGATACTGAGTCTTGAACTGAGCTTACTCTTAGCAGCTGAGTGAGAAGAGCCACAGAGAGATAGATTGGGGTGCTGGTGACAGTTCTAAAGGTGAGGAATCCCAATCCTCACTTCCAGAGAACACGTTTGCAAGCCTGTCTCTTTTGCTTGCTTTTATTTTCCCCACCAGCAAGATGGGCATTTGATGGTCAGCTATGCGCTCATGGAAGATTACTCCTTGGCAATAATTGTATATATTGATTATTGAATATTGTGCAGACTTTGAGGGCAGGGTGATGTTCTCTAATGGGCTCATTCGCCTGATAATCCTCCAGGTATTATGCCCTTGTATTTTTTCCCCCCTTTGAAGAATGTGAATAGTTTTTTGGTTAAGAATCCTAGAAATAACCTAGAAATCTGATATCAAGTGAATTTGGCTGGCCAGCTTCTTGACTGCAGTTGGGTGAAACAGAGGGTAAGGGAACAGTAGCTTAGACAATAAAAACTCTATCCCTTTTCTTCCTTTTCTGAAATAAATGATCACTTCAAATAAAAAAAATTATTTAAAAAGACTGAGTGCTCTAGATGTAAAATACCTCTGGTCTACCAACTCTCTGAGCCCTAGTGGTGCAGTGGTTAAGAGCTCAGGTTGCTAACCAAATGGTTGACAGTTCAAATCCACCAGCTGCTCCTTGGAAACCATATGGGTTTTTGGGTCAACCAACTCTCTAAGAGCACAAAGCAGATTGAGAAGCCCACTTAAACTCCATGAGGGCGTATTTTTCAATCTGTTGTTGTGTGCCTTGAGTGGATTCTGATTCAATTTGCTCATCAGATATGACCAAAAAGGATGATAGAAAAGGAAGGGCCTACTAGTGAGTGGACTCAATAGAACAATGGATTGGGAAGCTACTTCCAGAAAGCAGAGTAAAAAACCCGTTGGCTTGGAGTCGATTCTGACACACAGCAACCCTCTAGGACAGAGTAGAACAGTCCTATAGGGTTTTCAAGGTTGTAATTCTTAAAGATGCAGACTGCCACATCTTTCTCCCTTGGAGCTGCTGGTAAGTTCAAACCACCCACATTTTGGTTAGCAGCTGAGTGCTTTAACCACTGTGCCACCTGGGCTCCTCTAGAAAGCAGAAGAGGAGGTTCATTTATTATCCCAATGGTAGAGCATCCTTTCAAGGTCAGTCCGGTGGAATTTTAAAACTGATATGAATTAGTGATTTTAAAGGAATCTCTGGGTAGTATAAACACTTAAGTGCTAGACTATTCGCTGAAATGTTGGCAGTTCAAACCCACCCAGAGGCACCTTGAAGACAGGCCTGGCGCTCTGCTTCCGAAAGGTCACAGCCTTCAAAACCCTATGGGGTACAAATGCGATCTTCACCATGAGGCGGAATCAGCTTGAGAGCAACTAACAAGTGATTTTAAAATATTTCCCATTCTTTTCCTTTAAAAATTGAAGTGCTTATCATGGATCTTGTTCCATCGTTGTATGCTAGATGTTTTTTTATGTTTGTGGAGGTGGTGGGGATGGAGAGATAACTGGTCTTTTTAGTTAATAGCTATCTGATCAAAGAAAGCCACATCCAGATGTGAATGTAGGGATTATCATGAGATCCTTGACTTTGGGTCTGATGATAGGATTGCATGGGATAATGGGAGTTGTAAGAGGCCCTGGTGGCACAAGGGGTTAAGCACTCGTCTGCTAACCAAAAGGTTGGCAGTTTGAACTCCCAGCTGCTCCATGGGAGAAAGATATGGCAGTCTGTTTCTGTAAAGATTACAGCCTTGTAAACGCTATGGGGCAGCTCTACTCTGTCCTGTAGTGTCGCTATCGTGTCAGTAGAGGGTTGAGTCTGACTCTACAGCAATGGGTTTTATAGCAGTAGTATTCGCTGGAGAGGGGGGAGTACCTTGCATGAAGAAGGCAAGTGAATATTTGTGACCGAGATTGTGGACCACAATAGACAGTTTTGTCCCCTATAACAGGACTAAACATTTTGACCCATTGCTATATTATGCGCAGTGCCTTTCTGTAGGAGGAGACTACTTCTCTGCTTTTTTGGCAAGATTGGCACTTGCTTTGGCCAAGGAAGTTTGAGTAGAAATGATGTATGCCATTTCCAACTAGAATCTTTAGGAGCCATTGCATGTTTCCCAGATCTCTTGCTCTCTTCTCTGCCACAAAAATAATAAGTCCCTGACGGGGGTTGCTCCATCAGCCTGGGTCCCAGAATGAGAAGACAAATGGAGAAGAGCTGTAGCAGCCAAACCACATCCACCAACATGTAATAAAAGTGGGAAATAAGCTCTTGTTGTTATAATCCACTGAGTATGAGGGTTGTTTGTTATCACAGAATAACCTGGTTAAAGCTGATCAATACATATAGTATACTGTATTCTTCCAAACCTTAAAAAGGGAGCTAGCTAGAAAATTGCATTTATAAAATACCTTCCAAAGAATAACATCTTAAAAACAATTTATAAATAGAAGAGGCTGAGCATGTCCTTGGTGTATGTCTTTATAAAATAACCACTAAGTGTGTCTGTTGGTGAAGTCCTTCAAATTATCAACGTTCAGCTTAAATGTTACCTGCCCTTGATTAGATTCCCCTCTACTTTGCCTTCCCCTGGCCGCTGAGCTCATATATATTAAGCTGATTTTCGTTTTGTATCTGATTGTGTCCCTTCTCTGGACTGACTTCATCGATGGTGTAGACTGGAGCATTTAGGTTTTTTTTTTTTTATCAGACATGCATCCAAAAGGTACATGATAAATGTTTGAAGACTGAATAACTGAGTGAATGAATGCAAACATTCACTGGCATAGCAGAATTATCTAACAAATTGCAAGTCCTCCAAATCAGCATTATAAAGTTTCTAAAATTCTAAATTCTGCCTGATTCTTCTACTATTCTAAAAAATAAGGACTTTGAACTTGAATATGTAGGCCATATGATAAGAAGGTATTAAATAAATCTTATCAAAAATACAATGTTTTAGACTTAATAGTCCTGGGATGCTTTGAGGGAATTTTTATTTGCTATTTCTCATAAAAAGTAAAATCAATAATATTACTTCTAGATAAAAATAAAGGCAACTAATCACAGAAGTTAAACTGTGCTTTAAAATTTAAAGTCACTAAGGCAGTTCATAAACTACATTCCCTAAATATTGCTCTAAATGAAAGCCTAAACATATTTCCATGACTGTGCTTCATTTACACTAGAAGAATATACATTCCTTTGCTAGGCATGTTATGTTTCTAAATTTTGTTTTTAAGCTCATACTAAAGCAAACATAAACACATTATTTGAAATTACATACCTGTCGGCACCACAGTTTACGAAATATTTGCAGATAGGCCAAAACCATAAGACACAGTGGTGCCATGTATGTCACCAGAAAGAAACAGATGTGGTACATCTTGGGGTAAATTTCACCTGGAATGAAAGGCAAAGAAATAAAATCTTATAATTCACAGATTTTTGTTTTAAAGATATATCTCCCAGTGTGTCTTTTGCTGAAAGTATATATCAGTTCTAAAAATCATATACCTTATTTGACTTTGATATCACTGGCAAGGGTGGCTCTATATTGTTATCGAGGGATAATGCTATCACTCCCATGCATTTTATTCTTTTCATTAGTTAAGGAAAGACATGTAGAAACATGAAGGCCCAATTATGTGATCAAATTTGTGGTAAAGGCAATTTAGAATTGGGCTTAACCAATAAAAATTATGGCAATGACCGTAATAATAGATAATACCTTTTGAAAACTTATTCATTAAATTCTTTTTAAAAAATTCCGTTTACTTTGCTGTTGCTGTTGAGAATACACACAGCAAAACATACAGCAATTCAGCACTTTCTACATGCACAATTTAGTGACATTGATTACATTCTTGGTGTCGTGCAACCATTCTCACTCTCCTTTTATGAATTATTCCTCCCCCATTAATATAAACTCACTACCCCCTAAGGTTCCTATCTAATCTTTTCAGTCTCTGTTGTCACTGCTATCCCATATAAATAGTTCTTAATAGAGCATAATGCTCAGGCAGACATTTTTTACCAGTTAAGTTAAACCATTGTTTGGTTTTAAGAAGACTTTAGGGGATATTTTTGGTTTAAAGTTTAAAGATTATCTCAGGACAATAATTTCAGAGGTTCATCCAGCCTCCATGGCTCCAGAAAGTCTAGAGTCCATGAGAATTTGAACATTTAATTCTTAACGAATATATTTTAAACGTATCTATGGGTTTAATTGACTCAGTGGCACACAGCAACAACATGAGTTTAGTATCTTCCACAGTCTTAATTCCATAGTCTGTCTCCAGAGTTTGCTGACTTTATTCTTCCTTCTATAATTCTGCCTTCCTCTTCTCTTGGGTAGACACTATAGTCTTTAGAGAGGACAGCAGGGAACAATTGTTGTTAGGAGGTCTAAGACACCAATCTAAGGCGTCAATTTTAGCCTCTCTCTTGCTAAGGAGGTATTCACCTAGTTCATCAGTCTCTAACTTCCTTTCAACTTTATCATGTAAAACAGGCCAGTTACATAAAAAGCGATGGGATCCAAGCAGCCACACTGGAGACATAACAAACCAGCCTTTCCCTTTGAAGTGCTACAGACTGAGAAGCATTTGGTGAGTCAGTTTCAAAGGAATTGGAAGGTGACCTCAGCACTTCCCAGGCACCTGAGTCGCTCTGAACTTTTATTTGTTTTGAAGATGTCACATGAGCTTCCCACATAAAAATATACCTTTGAAGCTTAGATATCTGTGAAGCCCTGATGTCGGCACCAAACTAACATGAGTGAGTGGAGGAAGGTAGATTTGATAGGTAACTAATTTTTTTTTTCTTTTTTTTTTTTTTGTAGCTGCAGCTATGGATGTGGTAACAGTTAGGAGTTTTACGTAGATGTGAGAGAAAGCTCAAGCTGTGGTTGGTGTATTTATAAATATATGGAAAAATATGTAATTGACTAGTAAATAGATATTACAGTAATGAACAACCACACAGAAAAAAGTCAATCAAGCAAAATTATACTTGCAGGCTAGGATAGATTGTTTAAATAAAGAGATTATTATAGATAATTGGGGAAACATGATAGTCTTCAATTTCTTATTTCATGGTTAGAGTCTAAGCTAATCGATACTATGCCACAAAATTTTAAATTTTATGTGGTGAAACTATCTTTGAAGATTCTTTGTAATTGATAAACAACATATTCAATATATTTTAAGACATTTGTATGTAATCTAGAATGTAGCTCTGGTGGCACAATGGTTAAGCGCTCAGCTGCTAACCAAAGGGTCAGTGGTTCAAACCCACTAACTGGTCTGTGGGAAAAAGATGTGACAGTCTGCTCCCATAAAGATTTACAGCCTCGGAAACCTTATGGGGCAGTTCTACTCTGTCCTATATGTTCTCTATGAGTTGGAATCAACTAACGGCAATGGGTTTGGTTTTAGAATGTAGCTATATGAAATTTATTCTACTTAAATTATTTAATTTAGGAAGCAGTATTTTAAAGATTGACAACTATTAAATATCTATGTCTCTACCCAACTGATGAACACATATAATCCAAATAAAGTCTTGTATATATACCAACCTAACAAATAAGGAGCAAATATGGATCTTTTTTAGTCTTTGAAATCAGAGATTTGAGAGTAATGCTATATATTAAGCAGGCATAAATTAATTTTCCTCAGATGGGTTCAGGTTCATTATTCAGTCAACATATTAATCTAATTATTTAAAATACTACAAACATTTTCACCTTTATACTACACTGATTGGGGATTGAATCGACAGATTAAAAATATTTTTCCAAATACTCAGTTTGTCCTGTCTTTTCAAAGTTTATGAGTTCATTAAAGTTTACCTGAGTCTTTAGTATGTTTTATTATCTTCTTCCTAATAAATGTTTTTGTTACATTCTTACTAATACACATCACACTTGTTTATATACTTTCAAAACCTCAGAATAGGCCAGATGCCATAATTACTTTAACTGGAAAGAAAGCCTCCATTATTATTTTTTATTTTTTCAGACCACCAAAGAACGTTTTTGGCAGTAAGATCCAAGAGGAGAGGGATCATAAATTCCCACTGCCCAGCACAATGTTCTACAAACAGTACATGCTCATTAAACAGCTTGGATGAATTAATAGTGAGACAGTTATATCTTTGATTAATGAGTGTGAAAAAGAGAGTTAGTTTCCTTCAAATATTATCTGTTCCCGTGGAATATGCATTTACAAACCAAGTAATCAACAGAGTGTGGATATTATTCTTGAGCACTTTAAAAATTTTAGAAGTGTAGATTGATATAACTGAAGGAAATGATGAACATATACAAAAGCATATTTCTAAAGATCCTTAAAATAATATCAAGACATTTTACATGTTCTTGAGTGTCTGTTGTATCTGTCAAAAGTTATGGTTTATGATCCTTATTCTGAAGAAGACATAGGCAACAATGAATACAATGAGTTGCAGAAATAATTTATCTATAAACTGTTACATATTTTTGGTAATACTTTCAGTAAAACAGAGCTCTCGGTCATTTTCTACCATGTGTGGGACAGCATATGCAGGATTTTCCCATCTCTGATTTGATAGATGTGGACCAACTGGCCACTTTGCTTTCTGACTGTAGAACAATTATGATAGAATATTTTACTTTCATAGCTACTTTATTACTTTAATTTAGGATTAAGGTGAAAAATACAGGTCATGAATTAACCTCAAGTAGAAGATAATCCACAACAAAATTTTAAAGATTGAGCCAAACAGTATTTGACGTTTAAGGATGCTTAAATTTTAGAGAGCTGACACTATAAAATATAATTTCCCATGGTGTTTTTAGTTTGTGGCTATCATACATATGCCCAAGTTTTAACATTTTATGTTGAACATGTACTTACAAATAATCTACATTAATATGGCTCATGCTATGTAGGAAACTAAATGTCTAATGAGCAAAATGATAACTTGCTTTGAGCTGTTTTGTATTCTTATTGAAAATATTAAGACATTAACAATTCCATTTAATATTTGAAAAGCAAATTTTATAGCTTTTACTATGTTTGATTTTGTGGATGATCAACTCAATTCAATACTGCTTTAATTCTAGCCTTTATAAGCATTTAAAGTAATTATGAGCTACTATAAAATCACTTTCAAATAGATTTTTCTGAATGACTTCTGGAGACTGAGTTTAGATTTTAGGTATTCAACAGTAATTGCTTACTTTAGGAATATATCCATGCTAGACCTAGATAATAAAATACTAGAAGTAAAAATTAGTTTATACATTTATTGCCCAAAGGTAATTAAAAAATATATATAAATGGCTATTTACGTCATCAGAAAAACTGACAGGATTCCATAGCTTTGTAATCTTTTTGTTAATGGGGATCAATACTCCTTAATCATTCAGGGCAATGCCCCCCCAAAAAAAAAGTTTATAAAAGCATCCTACAAAGTTGTAAGTGAAATAAATTGCCAAAATACTTTAGAGAAAATGCTACTGATTTTGTCATCAGTTGACAAAAAAAAAGAATTCCATTGCCATGGAGTCTATTCCGACTATAGCTAACCTACAGGACAGAGTAGAACGGTCCCATAGGGTTTCCAAGGAGCAGCCGGTGGATTCGAACTGCCAACCTTTTGTTTAGCAGCAGAGCAGTTAACCACTATGCCACCAGGGCTCCTAGTTGAAAGATAGGTGGGTATTTTATCTAATCACCATCAACATGAACTTAAAGAATCCCAATTCTTTGAGTCAGAAGCTATAGATTTAAATGCACTTGTTGCTTTATAATATTGAGCAAATAATTTAGTCTCTCCTGGTCGCACAGTGATTAAAGTGCTCAGCTGCTAACTAAAAGGTCAGCAGTTTCAACCCACCAGCTGCTCCATGGGAGAAAGATGTGACAGCCTGCTTCTGTCAAGATTTACAGCCTTGGAAACCCTATGGGATGGTTCTGCTCTGTCGTAGAGGGTTACCATGAGTTGGAATCAACTAGACGACAGTGAGTTTTTGGTTTTTCAGTCCTCAGCTTCCTCATGAAGGAAGTAAATGAGTGCAAACAAGAAACCTTTAGGCTCTTTTCCAAATATAACCCATTGTAAAGGAATTGCATGAGAGACTTCGCCATCTGTCCCCAGCCCACATTTCTAAACTCAGTTCCTTAGACTGCCTGAACTTACATACCAGCAACTACAAGTCTGGAGCTTTTCCATTCTTTTTCAAGATATGGTACCATTGTGTGGGTTTTCTTCCTTCCTGGGACACCTCATTCTCTTTACCCACCTGGAGCACTCCTGCTCACTCCTGAATGCTTTGCTGAAATCTTAGCAACTACTCTGTAAACTTTTGCTGAAATGGCCAGAATTGAGTTTTATTCTCTCATTTGTGTTCCTAG